ATTTATTTATTTATTTATTTATTTATTTATTTATTTATTTATTTATTTATTTATTTTATTTATTTATTTTTAGAGAATTGCAAATGCCATTTCTTTGACTTCGGCGCTGCGCAACGACAGGGGAATGCTCAATGCCATGGCCCAGGTAAATAAAATAAATAAATAAATAAATAAATAAATAAATAAATAAATAAATAAATAAATAAATAAATGAATAAATAAATAAATGAATTAATAAATGAATAAATAAATAAATAAATATATATATGTATAAATAAATAAAATAAATAAATAAATAAATAAATAAATAAATGGTGAAAGGGCGGCTTCGAGTTGTTTGTGGAAAGTTTGAATTTTGAAAAATCAAAAAACAATTTATTTTAATTTATTTATTTTAAATTTTAAATTAAATAATTTTAATTTTTTTAATGGTATGGGGCCCCACACTTCAGTTCCCCATTTTGATACTTCTGTCCAAACGCCTTCCCTCGAGGGTTTAGGGTTTAGGGTTTAGGGTTTAGGGTTTAGGGTTTAGGGTTGAGGGTTTAGGGTTTAGCGTTTATTTAAAACTATTTTACAAAATCTTTTTTCATTTTTCGTTTTTAATTAAAATAAACAAATTTAAAGTTTTAATTTGATTAAGATCTCAAGAATTTATTTTTTAATTTTTTTTCCAAACTTTCTTTTTTTTATAATTGTTCTTTTCCAAAAATAATCAATTTGGCATTTCAAACATTTCTTTAAAATTTGTTTTTTTAATTTTGTTTTATTATTTAATTAAATGCCATTTGGTTATTTTCAGGACTTTTTATTTTTCTTTTAAATAAATTTATTTCTTTTTTCTCCTCTTTGTGTTTCTTTTATTCTTCTGCTTTTATTTATTTCCACTTTTTGCTTTTATTCTTTTCAATTTTATTCCGTTTAATTGCTTTTATTTTTACTGATTTTTTTTCTTTTTCCTTTTTCCACTTTTGCTGCTGCTGCTGCTGCTGCTGCTGCTGCTGCTGCTGCTGCTGCAGATGGCTGGCGCTGCTGCCGCCAGGGGCAACCGATTCGCTTAAACAAAAAATAAAATGAAAAAAGCAAATTTGATTTATTTTATTTTAAATTAATTTAATTAAATCAAATTAATAAAATGACCCGCGAAAAATGGCGGCGGTGGTGCTGGCTTGCGCTGCTGCTATGCCCTGGCAGCAGCAGCAGCAGCAGCAGCAGCAGCAGCAGCAGCAGCAGCAGCAGCAGCAGCAACAGTAGCTTTTGCACCGCCTGCAGCAGCAGCAGCAGCAGAAAGATCAGCAGCAACGGCAACCGCGGAATCAGCAGCAACGGCAGCAGCACCAACAGCAGCAGCAGCAACAGCAGCAGCGGCGGCGGCGTCTTTAACAGTCTTAACACCATCAGCAGCAGCAGCAGCAGCAGGATCAGCAGCAGCAGCAGCACCAGCAGCAGCAGCAGCAGCAGCAGCAACTTCAACCATCTTGCCACGAATCTCCTAGCTGTTTTATGTATCGCTGCCCTTTTGCTGCAGCAAATTAAAAGGGACACCGTGCAGCAGCAGCAACAGCAGCAACAGCAGCAACAGCAGCAACAGCAGCAGCAGCAGCAGCAGCAGCAGATGCTGCAGCATTTGTAGCGACTGGAGCAGCAATAGCAGCAAATAAAGACACCATTATTTTAAGGAGACAAATGCAATCTTTTGTTTCCTTTTTGTTTTTTTACTTTTCCTTTTGCATGTCAAACCAACTTGACCATTTAAGACCAAGTTTCCGAGCAGCAGCAGCAGCAGCAGCAGCAGCAGCAGCAGCAGCAGCAGCAGAAAAAGCAGCAATGGCAATAGCAGCTGCAGCAGCAGCTGCAGCAGCCTTTTGTGCATTGTTGAGATACAGCAGGCTTGATAAAGTGTTCGGCGTTTAGGGTTTAAGGTTTAGGGTTTAGGGTTTAGGGTTTAGGGTTTTTGCTGCACAGGGCTCAAGGCCACGGAGCGAGGGTTTGGGGTTAAGGGTTTGAAGCAAATTGCCTGCTGGCTTTTACGACTAAGGGTTTAGGGTTTAGGGTTTAGGGTTTAGGGTTTAGCATTTTAGCGACACGAATTGCAGTTCCATTAAACCAATTAATTTCCTTTTCTCCAAATAAATGCCTTCTGAACCGAACTCAAATTCAGGCAAAAAAAATAACTCTTTGGGCGCATCTAGACTCTAGGGTTTAGGGTTTAGGGTTTAGGATTTAGGGTTTAGGGTTTAGGGTTTGCGGCCACTCCAAGCTCAAATTCGCGCAGCAAACCCCCGCAATTGCTTTAAAAAAGGAATAAGACTCAAAAGTGTGAAATATAATTCTTTAATTTTCAATTTTGAGTTCTTCCGCTTTTCGAGTTGCAGTGTATGTACACCTGAACACCGCAGCGGCGCTTCGGGGGCCCCCTGGGGCCCCTGGGGGCCCCTGCTGGAGGAAAGGCATTTGGGTCTTCTTTGCTGCGGTTTTTGATTTAAATGAGTTGCAAATGAAGAAGGAAAAGAATTAAAGAGCTTTTCGACTTTGAATCGGGGCTTGAATGGGAGGAAGCAGCGGGAAGAGGCGGCGGCAGCAGTTCGCTTCTGGGCGTTGAGGAAGGCGGAGTTTGGCATTTTCTGCCCCGCGATCGCGAGTAATATTTCTTTTTTGCGGTTTATTTCTTTTATTTTACCTTTTTATTCTTTTTTTTCCGGTTTTACCCGCAGATCAGCGGCAAAAGGCGTCCGGGCGGGTGTCCGATCTGCGCATACACCGTGGGGTGTATAGGCAGCTCGGGCATTCGCTGGGCTTCCCGCGCGGGATTTTCGTCAGTTTTTCTTTTTTTAAATCGAATTTGAGGTTTTCTTTTTCCATTTCGCGCGTGTTTTTGCGTTTCGGACCCGCGTGGGGGCTCGATCCGGCTTTTTCGGGGCAAAATGGACTTCAGGATCGCGGGCGAAGGCGGCAACGCCGTGCTGCAGACCATCCACGCCAGCGAGGGCGGCCGCGCCATTCGGCTGCTGCAGCAGCGGCAGCAGCTGCAGCAGCACCTGCAGCAAGCGAAGGAGAAGTTGGAAACAAAAGGCAGCAAAAGAAAAAACATCAACTGGGGAGGTTCTGTGGCCGACAGACTCGAAGAAGAATTCAAAAAAGAAACTGTCGGACTCGTCACTGCCCAGGACTTCAAGGAACGCAGGCAGAAGCTCCAGCAGCAAATCCAGTTCGCGGCCAAGGACCTCTTCACCAGGCACGCCTGCTGCTGCTGCTGCTGCGGCTGCTGGCTTTGCTGCTGCTGCTGCTGGTTTTGCTGCTGCTGCTGCTGGTTTTGCTGCTGCTGGTTTTGCTGCTGCTGCTGCTGCTGGTTTTGCTGTTGCTGCTGCTGGTTTTGCTGCTGCTGCTTCTGCTGCTGGTTTTGCTGCTGCTGCTGCTGCTGCTGGTTTTGCTGCTGCTGCTGCTGCTGCTGGTTTTGCTGCTGCTGCTGCTGCTGAGGCTGCCGCGGATGTGTTTGCTGGCGGTGGGGCTGGGGCTGCTGCTGTTGATATTTGCTGTGGGTGCTGTAGCAGCTGCTGCTGCTGAAATTTGCTGCTTCTGCTGCTGCTGCTGCTGGTGCTTGCTGCTGCTATTACTGTTGCTGATATGTGGTGCTGCTTCTGCTGCTGCTGCTGCCGATATTTATCGCTGCTGACGCTGACAGGTGCAGCTGCTGATCTGTTGCTGCTGCTGGTTGCTGTTGCTGCTGCTGCTGCTGCTCCTCTTGCTGCTGCTGCTTCGTTTTTGCTGCTTTTCTTTTTATCCTTTTTCTTTGCTTCTTGGGCTCATTCTCTCAACAAATTAATTATATAATTACCATTATTTATTCATTTATTTATTTCATTTATTTGTTTATTTTTTGATTTCTGCTGCTGCTGCTGCTGCTGCTGCTGCTGCTGCTGCTGCTGCTGCTGCTGCAGCAAACAAGAAAGGAGGAAATATGAAATGAAAATGGTGAAGAGCAAATTGTCTTTTGGCGACGACGAAGCAGAAGAAGTGGCAGCGCAAGAAATGGAAAAAAAAGAAATAAAAGAAAAAGAAATAAATGAAATAAATGAATTAAATAAAATAAATAAAATAAATGAAATAAATGAATTAAATAAAACAAATAAAGAAATAAATCAAAGTATTCATTGCCCAGTCAAAGAAGAATCAAATTCCGAAACGGCGAACCAGTGCAGCAGCAGCGCAGCAGCAGCAGCAGCAGCAGCAGCAGGAACAGCAGCAGCAGCAGCAGCAGCAGCAGCAGCAACTGGGGATTGCACAGCTCTCGTGAAAGTCAAACAGGAAGACTCTCCAAGTCCGGAGAAAGCAGCAGAGCCAAGTGGGTTTAGGGTTTAGGGTTTAGGGTTTAGGGTTTAGGGTTTAGGAGGGTTTAGGGTTTAGGAGGGTTTGGGGTTTCAGAGGGTTTAGTAGTAGGGTTTAGGGTTTAGGGTTTAGGGTTTAGGGTTTAAGGCTTGGTTAGATTGTGTAATTCAACTACATGTTTATATAAATAAAATATCCACCCACCATAAATAAATAAAAGCTATCATATTTTGTTGCTGCTGCTGCAGCTGCTGCTGCTGCGGCAAAGACTGCAGCTGCTGCAGCTAGTGCTGCAGCAGCAGCAGCAGCAGCAGCAGCTGCTGCTGCTGCTGCTGCATTTAGAATTCAACAAAGTGCTACTATTATTTACAAATATTTTTTAAAAATAATTAAGAGAGAAAAAGACTGGGCATTATGTATACACTTCTGCTGCTGGTGTCTGTGCTGCTGCTGCTGCTGCTGCTGCTGCTGCTGTTGCTGCTGCTGCTGTTGCTGCTGCTGCTGCTGCAGCTTTTAAGATTCGGAAGCGGATTTGCAAAGACCCAACTGTCGACACGAGTTATCTCCCGGTAAGAATTTTAATTTTAATTTAATTTAATTTAATTTATTTTATTTTATTTTATTTTATTTTTTAATTTAATTTAATTTAATTTATTTTATTTTTAATTTATTATTTATATTTGTTTATTCATTTGTTAAAATAATTGTTTTTGCATTTATTGCGATAAATATATTTCAAGGATGTTCTTGCTGCCTCTTGTCTGCTGCTGCTGCTGCCTTTGCTGCTGCTGCTGCCCTTGCTGCTGCTGCTAACTTCGCTGCTGCTGTTGCTGCTGCCTCTGCTGCTGCCTTTGCTGCTGCTGCTGTTGCTGCTGCCTTTGCTGCTGCCTTTGCTGCTGCTGCTGTTGCTGCTGCCTTTGCTGCTGCCTTTGCTGCTGCTGCCTTTGCTGCTGCTGCCTTTGCTGCTGCTGCCTTTGCTGCTGCTGCTGCCTTTGCTGCTGCTGTGGCCTTTGCAGCTGCCGCTGTCAATGCCGCTGCTGCAGCTGCCTTTGCTGCTGCGTTTCTGCTGCTGCTGCTGCTGCTGCTGCTGCTGCTGCTGCTGCTGCTGCTGCGTTTGTCATGTGGTTTGCAACTGCCTGGTTCTTTTTGCCATTTTTCAGCTGTTGTTTCTATTTGATTCTTTTATTTAATTCTTTTTATTTAATTCTTTTTATTTAATATTCTTTTTATTTAATTCTTTTTATTTAATTCTTTTTGTTTAATTCTTTTTAATTAATTCTTTTTATTTAGTTCTTTTCAATTAGTTCTTTTTATATAATTGTTTTGTTCAATTGTTTATATAATTCTTCTATTTAATTGTTTTATTCAACTCTTTTAATTCTTCGATTTAATTCATTATTTTATTATTTGATTGTTTTATTTAGTTGTTTTATTTAATTGTTCTGTTTAATTCATTATTTTATTATTTAATTGTTTTATTGAATCATTTTATTTGTTTTATTTAATTCATTATTTAATTGTTTCAATTGTTTCATTTAATCCATTATTTAGTTATTTTATTTAATTGTTTTATTTAATTGTTTTAGTTAATTGTTTAATGTGATTGATTTATTATTTGTTTTAATTGTTTTATTTAATCCAGTATTTAATTGTTTTAATTGTTGTGTTTAATTATTTTATTTAATTGTTTTATTATTTGTTTTAATTGTTTTATTTAGCTATTCAATTTTTTAAATTATTTTATTTGATTATTCAACTCAACTGTTTTATTTAATCCACTATTTAATTGTTTTAATTGTTTTAATTAATTGTTTTATTTAATTATTTAATTTAATTGTTTTATTTATTTGTTTTATTATTTGTTTTATTATTTTTGCAAATTAAAGGACAAAGAAAGAGACGCGAGACTGGCGGAAGAAAGACAAAAATTAATTGAAGAGTACAGACAGCAGGAAGAGGCGGAAAAGCGTGAGCGGTGTACATACACCCCAAACCCCACACTTTTCCCAAACTTCGCAGTCTTTTCTTTATTTGTTTTATTTATTTATTTGTTTTTATTTCTTTGTTTGTTTTATTTGTTTATTTGTTTTTATCTTTTTATTTGTTTTTATTTTCATTTGTTTTTGCCTGTTTTTGTTTATTTTATTTGCTTTTATTTGCTTTCGTTTGTTTTTATTTGACTTTTCCTGCGATTTTTTCTTTTTATTTGTTTTTATTATTTGCTTTTTTTACTTTCTGTTTTTTATTTTATTCTTTTAATTGCCTATTTATTTAGAAGTAACAGCAACAGCAGCAGCAGCAGCAGCAACAGCAGCAGCAGCAGCAGCAGCTACTAAGACGGCTAAACAAACCCTAAACCCTAAACCCTAAACCCTAATTTGTGTTTAGGAATGCCTCTGACGGTGACTTTCTCATACTGGGACGGCTCCACCCCCAAACCCTAAACCCTAAACCCTAAACCCTAAACCCTAATTTGTGTTTAGGAATGCCTTTGACGGTGACCTTCTCCCACTAAGACGGCTAAACAAACCCCAAACCCCAAACCCTAAACCCTAAACCCTAAACCCTAATTTGTGTTTAGGAATGCCTTTGACGGTGACATTCTCGTACTGGGACGGCTAAACAAACCCTAAACCCTAAACCCTAAACCCTAATTTGTGTTTAGGAATGCCTCTGACGGTGACTTTCTCATACTGGGACGGCTCCACCCCCAAACCCTAAACCCTAAACCCTAAACCCTAAACCCTAAACCCTAATTTGTGTTTAGGAATGCCTCTGACGGTGACATTCTCGTACTGGGACGGCTAAACAACCCCTAAACCCTAAACCCTAAACCCTAATTTGTGTTTAGGAATGCCTTTGACGGTGACATTCTCGTACTGGGACGGCTAAACAACCCCCAAACCCTAAACCCTAAACCCTAATTTGTGTTTAGGAATGCCTCTGACGGTGACTTTCTCGTACTGGGACGGCTAAACAACCCCCAAACCCTAAACCCTAAACCCTAAACCCTAATTTGTGTTTAGGAATGCCTCTGACGGTGACTTTCTCATACTGGGACGGCTCCACCCCCAAACGCTAAACGGATTTGGGATTTGGGATTTGGGATTAAACACAAATGGAATGCCTTTGACGGTGACATTCTCGTACTGGGACGGCTCTGGCCACCGCCGCCGCATTCAAGTTTTGCGGGGAATGTCAGTTGGCGAGTTTTTGGAAAGAGCGAAAAGAGAATTGGAAAAAGAATTCGTCGAAATCCGATCAGTGCCTTCTGAAAACCTTCTTTACGTCAAAGAAGACCTCATTTTGCCGCACGTCAGTCCCCGCAGTGGCTAGCTGGCTAGCTAGCTAGCTAGCTAGCTAGCTAGCTAGCTAGCTGGGTAGATGGGGGGGTGGCC